TTGTGGCTATATTTCCATTAATGTGTATAATATTCTTCTTCTTAATTGATTACTTCATTGTTATTCAAAAAGCTTAGCCAAACCCCTCCAACTACAGCCTGACAGTAATGTCAAGAAAGCGAAATCCTTCACTTGGACGTGCTACTACTACAGCCAAACGCATGAAAGCACGGAGAAGAAACGCTTCGCAACAAGAAACTCAAATTAGATTGACACAAAATGCTATTCGTACAGCTAATGCAGGGTCAGCAGAAAATAATGAGCAACGGTTAACTAGACGAGGAAGAAACGCTGCCAGAACTACTGCTACTCGAGCTGTCGAAACTGAGGGGCAAAAACAATTCTATACAGTCTTTGTGAACGGTGGTTTTCAGCCTTGGCACGGCTGCTAGAAGTCTTTGTTGAATTTCTTCTCCTTCCAATGCATGTTGTTCATTAATCGATGAAGTTTGAGCAAAAGCTGTCAACAAAGCGTTTCTCCTCAAGAATTTGCGAAGATCGATTGCGATTAATGTACTCTTCATTTGCTTACAAATATTTTTTGTATCTTCTGTGCTTCTGTAAAAAACAACTTTCTCCTGTTATAAATGTTTTTACACTTCATGTCATTATAATTTTTCGCCATATTGATAAGTGGCACGAAAGAAAAATCTTCTTTATTTTAACTTTACAGATTGGATGAGGTTCGTGATCTTTTTTTTAATAAACCCAGGCAACACCGGGTAATGTTGCTAGTATTATATATAATTAAGTTTTTCCTTCCTATCTAGCTATTTATCTTGATCAATATACTTGGACTAAATGTAGCCTAGGTCATTATGCTTTAGTTCTATTCTCTTGGAACCTCAGACACTTATCCCAGTGTTTTTCGAATGTAGGAGAAATAGAGACATCAAACGGGATGACCTTCTTCTAGTGATACAAGGTTCAATTCTAACGACCGTGTATCCATTGTAGAAGCTTTCAGCTATAGACAATGGTTGGTATAGGTACTCTGACATTTACTTTATATGGTTGGTATAGGTACTTTGACTAACTTAAGCCTCCACCTTCATTAAAGCTATCTGAAATTTGTAACACAGTAGCCCATTTATTTGTTGGTACTTAGCGGGAAAATCTCTGTTGATTCTCACATCGATTTGGACGCCGAATGGCATGTCTATGATTAATGATTTTCCCCCCCTTCTGTTAATAGATTATCACCACAGTTTTGGAAATGTCATTTGCCCATGACAATTTGACTTTCAACGCGGTCAATCAAATCTTCATTTTTGCCCATTATTATAATACTTTTGAAATTGACATGCACCGTAGTAGTTGTCATTCGTCATACTTCCCACATATCTCCAGTGCGAATGTTTCATTTAGTACACACACGCACACACACACACACAAATATATATATATATATATATATATATATATATATATGAAACTTCGAGTCGTGCTACCAGAAAATATGTCTATTTATTAATATATATATATATATATATAATCGCTTAAATCTTACTTTTAGTGGATACTCATATTTGAGAAGACGCATCATTTATTTATTTCAATAAATCTCAATGAAAAATATTATGCACACTCCATTTTTCTTTAATAAGTTCTCTCAAATATTCAGGACGGTAGACGAAAATAAATCTACTGCTTAATAAATAAACGCAGCGTCTACTCAATTATGAGTATCGACTAAAAATAACGTTTAAGTTATAAAATCTGTCTAATTTAATTAAAAAGTGCGTGATTAAAATTTTGGTGGTCCTGGTCCATGTTTCCAAATCGATGTTTTAATGGCGAGACATCGGATATTCTGGGAAACTGACCGGGAACTTTTCAGCACTCTCTTCACACACACACACACACACACACACACACACACACACACACACACACACACACACAGGGTTAGTAAATAAACAATAATGCGGATGTAATTCCATGAATAATTTTTACTTGGTAATCAATTCTGATCAACACATAGCACTCGTTTATTTCTTATCCCTCGATCGTTAAAATGAGACTTCTTGCTGAAAAGTTCTCAGCTCGAATTGCTCCCCCAAAACTGATGAAGGGACTAAATATTGGAATATGTGGAAGCTGGAACTAGCACCAGAATTGTTGATCTTATATTCACTTTAGCACATGACCAAATTTACTATTTTGTTGTAATGATCTGAAAGACCAGTTTTACAAACCCTGATCAAACCCTGGGGTGTCCTGAATTACTAAGAACAGGCCACGAGTATTGAGCACCTAGTGATAATGACATTCACTATTCAATTGTAATGATCTGCGTGTCTAGTTTACTAATAATTACACCATACACCGAGACGCCCAACAAACCTGAAACGATAAAGCTATAAAACTCTATCACAACCAGTAGAAAAATGGCGTTATCCCAAAAAGACCGAATTCAAAAAAGAAAGAAAAATAAAATAAAATGAACAATAGCACAACAATAACTATAAAACTGAAGCGACGATTAAAAGAAAGAAAGAAAAGGAATTGAAAAAGAAGCGTAATTACTCAAGGGGTCGTGGGAAATATTCCACCCTTTCTGTCGGATCTACGTGTTGTCTCAGGGCCAGTTGTCCTCAAAGGACACCATTGAAAATTTCAACATGGCGACAGCTTCGAAGAGCTAAGGATCAAGGCAGCTGTCATCTTGAAGGCTACGCTCGACGCTTGATTAAAGTCGACAGCGGAAGGATAATTATCAAGAAGTTGGTGCGCCAAAAAAAAAAAAAAAAAAGAAGAAAAAAGTTAATGCCTACCAGTGCGTTTTCTTGTGCGCGCTTCTTTTATTTCATGGAAGTCTGTCCCCATGTGCGCTGCATCTATCTATCTATCTATCTATCTATCTATCTATCTATCTATCTATCTAACATTATGTTCACATATAGCACTGTTTCAATATATTAATAGATTAACCATTCTTTTTCCACACGTCCACATTCACACAGTTTGACGTGTATTTGAGAACGTATCATTAGCTGGCCATAAATGAAACAAGGCAAATGCTAAAGTTTGACGTTATCTTTCTTCTTTCAGACGTTTCAAGATCATTGACAATGCAGCTTCGAAAGTTACATAGAAATGAAAAGTCACACCGTACTCGTAGCATTATCTACCAACCGCAGAAACTCGAAGATAATGAACTTCTTGAAAGCGCTCAGATGAACACAAGGAAATACAGGTGGCACTGTGAGGACATGTACGGAGATATTGATGGTGATGCTCACCAATATACGTCGTTTATGATAGATCTGTGTGTTGTGTCATATCACCCCACTTCCTTCAAGGCATCAGAGTTTATTCCACATAAATCGAAGTACTAGGTGTTTAATCCCTGGGTCGAGGGAGTGACGTATTCCAGTAACAATATTCTTTCTCCGTGGCTCACGTGATACAAGTGTGGCTGGCGAAGAATGTTCACAATCATGTCTCGCTCCCAGCATCTACATGTAGACTTCTAACTCTCCTGATGTGAATTCTTTTGACTCTGCAGCATGTTGGAGAGTGGTCCCACAATACCATAGACTCATTGAAATCCACCATCAGTTGTGACAGTCAATTCGAAACGAAAACCATCTTACCCGGCTATGTAGCAGCATCGAGTCAGTCCTCGAAGTTGTTGGCGGTTTTAATGAATAATCTTTGTTATTTTTCTAAGTTGATCATGTGCTACATTTTTACATTGAATACCTTTGTTTTTCTTCATATATATTTATATGCCCACCATATATCATATGCATCATCCACATCAGGATTTTTGATTTTTTAAAACTATATTCTGAATAGGAGCAACTGTTCATGTAAGGAACATATCATAATGACTAATTATAAACACTACGTATTAGAGACATCAAGGTCACTTCGATTTTATCGCTAGATCAATTACGACTGGATAGTGAGTTTGAGCTTCACTGAGTGCCCCATACTTTCGACCTTGTTCCACATCTCAGCTATGCTTGGAAAATCACCATATTAGCGATATCAGATATAAAACTTTTTCAATACATAGCTTAGATGTGACACAAGACCGAAAGTATGGAGCAACCTGTAAGGATCGAATTCACTGCACGGCCGTAAATTAATCTAGCGAAAGAAGCTTGCTAACCATTACACCACATCAAAGAATATATAGTTATAATTTTTCTTCATATTATTTGTTTAGACATACAATAAAAAATGACTACATATTTTGTTAAGACCTTACAATTATTACGTTTTCATACCTGAGTCTTTAAGTATATTTTTCTAATTATCATTGTTGTACCCTGCTCTTTCACGGAGTCGTTTTTTATATGTCCTGGCTTCGAAAACGTCTTCGAATAGGTTATAATTATCATATAGTCACCCGTGTAAGGGAGATAAATCTAGTCATCTCCCTTGTACTGACAATATTAAAGTTACAGATATTAGCGATAAAATATATACAATTACAAGTGGCGTATTATATAGTAAGGTAGTTGCATAAAGATGGTTTATTCTGCCCATTATTTAAGGAGCGAGTTTTATCGGGAGATAAACTACGGTCTGTGTGCCCAAACCATAGTAAATACTTTTTAGCTCCTAGATTTTGGTGGAATATATCAAACATTCAAGGGATTTTTGGTGCCCTCTTTTTTGGAGTTATACAGACAAATAAGTTATTTAAAAACACCAAATACTGATCAAGTGAAATTGCTTTGTCAAATTCCTTAAAAAAGGAGAACTAAGAAAAATCCATAGACAAATAGTTTGACTAAAGTTACAAATGAAGGGATAAAGCAAATATATTTTTTTTTGTTTTGGTCCTCTGAATTAAACCAATTGCTTGAGTTGAAGCGATAAGAAACTTCTAGCCTTATTATCTGTCTTAATAAAATGGCGGTAATCCAACTTCCGGCATGTTTGGAGGTGGTCCCGCCATACAGGGACGAGATTGTTTACAATTTTCTGTCTACTTTCTAAAGGTAAAGGAACAACGAATTGATAGTTCGTGTTACTTTTATCTAATCACAACCAATTATCGGGTCTTCCTCTGGTGTCTCCCGCTTGTTGTGCGGACAGCAACCGTTACCATTTAATTCTTGCTTACCACTCGTCTGCCGTTGACAGCCATGATGGACGGCAGAGACGAAAGGCAAAAGAAAAAAGGGCAAGGAGGAAGTGAGGGGGAAGAAAAAAGAATGGAAAAAAGACAAAAGAAATGAAAGAGAAACGAATAAAAGTGTGCAAAAAGTGACGGAATACAAATTTATGTTTGTGTGTGTGTGTGTGTGTGTGAGAGAGAGAGAGAGAGAAAGAGAGAAAGAGAGAGAGAGAGGGGGAGATAAAATAGAACAAGAAACAAAGAAAGAAGAAAAAGTGAAAAGAATAAATTGAAGAAGAAAAATATGAAAAAGAAGAAAGAAAAGAAAGAGAAGAAAGAAAAGAGCAAAAAGGGAGAAGAGGAGTAAGCAAGAAAGAATCATGAGAGAAGAAATAAACACGATCGGAATTTGAAGGAACGGGAACAAAGGAGGAATAATAAAAGAGCAAAAAGTTTTAAAGAAGAAAAATTACAGATAAAGAAAATAAATAAATAAAAACAGAAAAGAGAGATAATTAATTGAAAGAAGATAGATAATAATAATAATAATAATAATAATAATAATAATAATAATAATAATAATAAAAACAACGCAGAGGAAGAGAAAGAAAAGAAAGGTAAAAAGAGTAACATGATTCCAAACGTACCAGTACTTGGTGTTTGCATCCAGTTAATATCCCTAGATTTCGAATGAAGCAAGCCATCTCAACTTGGTAAATGAATTAAATTTGGAGATGTTTAGATTGTATTATACAGCCTAGCCATGCCCGAATCTTGTCACAAACTAAAATAAAATAATATAAAATATCAAGAAATATGCGTTGAAATGAAATTTGTTCAGGTAGATAAGCTTAGCTTAGGCTGGCACAGGATCAAAATATTTGGCTACTTATAGGGATCTTGTATAATATAAAATAGGGATTCTATTCAGGAGAGTGTTGAGAGTAAATATAAAAATATCATTTTTTTAATCGAGTTCACTGCAAGGAAAGCAGTAAAGCCACTAAGATACAGGAGGTTACTGGGTGTGGAAGAATTAGAAAACAGAAACATTATTAAGGAGCAATAGAAAAATAGAAGGAAAAATCAGTAGGACAGTAGATAACGATTGACAATGTCATTAAATGACGCTATGACATAACGCCATTTAGATTTTTGACGATTAAAGTTGGCTGATAAGCATGGAGCCGGAAGCGAGAAGTACGAGAAAAGAAACGGTTACATTTAGCCAACTCAACTTTAAATTGATGAGGTCTTGATACCAGTCTGGAACTGCGCTTAAATTCATAAAGTCTAAGTACGATAGAGGAAAGCGCATTCAAACAATTACCATGAAAGTAATTATAGAATAAGTAAAGGAGTGCAATTTTTATGGCGGTGGGAAAGTGACTGTTGCCGAGACGCCAGATCAGAACCAATTATATTCTTGATTCTTTTTTTGGATTTTATCAAATATCTCTAGGTATATAGCAGGACAAAATGTATTAGCAATATTCATAGCATGGACGTATGGCAGACTTATAGACATGTAAGATAGATTCTAGAGAGAGAAATTGTTTTGAACGACACAGTGAACCAACTTTCTCAGCAGCTGACCTAGCAATTGATTCAACATAGGCTTTCCACTTCATGTCAGCCAAGAGTGTTAATCCGCGAAAGCGCAATGAGTCACTTTCTTCGAGGATAGCATCAGCCATGCTGATGGAGGGCAGAAAGGAGTCTCTCAAATGTTTAATGGAGAGCAGTTTAGTTTTAGAGGCGTTAAAATTAACAAACCATCCTTTGCTCCAGTTAATAACAGACTCAAGGTCGTTTTTGACATCAGTCTTGACCTTATCTGACTGATCAGACTTACTATCGAGACAAGGGTAAATGGTTTTGCCATCAGCTGATGCCATGAGGAAGGTTGTTAATGAAAATTTAAAAAAAGCAAAAACAAAGTAGGACCAAGGATAGAGCCCTGGGGGGGGGGGACACCTGCATTAGTACAAAAGGATCTAGAAGAGTGGTCATTCAGGATAACTTTCATTTCTCGATCTGATAAGAAAGACTTGGATTAGCTCAAAAGTTTGGTCGGAGACATTAAAATTAAACAACAAAAAACAACCACATTTCACTTATCAAACATAAAAATGGATTACCTACATTAATAGGTTTTATCAGGAAGTGCTGAAAAGTTCTCAGCTCGATCCACTTTTCAAAGTAAGCATTTTAATGACCAAATACCAAAATACTGAAATCGGTCTGGCCGAGAACCTTTCAGTGTATTATTGGATAATTATTTAATGAACCAAAGAGAATATTTGGCTATGAGCATGAAAGTTAGGGGAAAACGCCACAGTATCCATACGTCACACAAAAGTTATGACTATAAAATTGTCAAAGAAATTCTTATTGATATTTTTGTACGATCATTCCAAAAGATCGCTTTCGATTGTATTGTGACAACTGCAATATGAGCGTATATTTAAAATAATGTCAAAATTGGCATATATTAGATTATTTACTATTAAAGATGAAAAAAATTAATATATTATTATTTTATTTTTAGAAAGATAATGCGATTGAAACTGAAAGAAATGATTAGTGCCGAAGGTAGTCTTTGTGAGGTTTCCTATTGGAAATTTCTATCCAAAAGAAAAAGTTCATAGTTCATTCTGACAGGGTCCAACTTTTATCTGTAGAAAACAAAATGAGAAACATCCACTTATATGTTGGCAACTACTAGAAATGTACAGTAGTTTAAAATGACCGAAGTTTTTTACACGGTATTGTGTGTGTGTTTTGTGTGTGTATGAGTGTATATTATTATTATTATTATTATTATTATTATTATTATTATTATCATCATCATTCGATTTCTGCTATGGACACACTACCTACCAAGTCTGCGGAAAGACCTAAGGCAGGTCGTGGTGTGTTGTTATGGCCACATTTCATGTTAATTTTTTTTTTTTTTTTTTTTTTTTTTATCTCCGATGAAGTTGCTAGCGTTACATAGACAAAGTTCTCCTTAGTGTGTGTGCTGTACTTAATAAGACAATTTTCTGTATGTCTCTTAAGCTGGGGTTTCAGGGATTCTTTCAATGTGTTGTTTTGTTCCATTTTTTATAATTCCAAGTGCACCTATTACCACTGGTATTATTCTTGTTTTCAATTTCCACATTTTTTCTATTTCAATTTCCAGGTCTTTGTATTTTGATAGTTTTTCAAATTCCTTGGTTGCTATGTTACAATCCGCTGGACAAGCCATATCAATTAGTAGGCAAGTTTTTTCTTTCTGGTTTTTGACAATAATGTCCGGCCTATTTGCTTCAATTTTTCTGTCTGTGTGGATGGTATAATCCCATAGAATGGTGACATCTTCTATTTCTGTAACCGGCGCTGGCCGATGTTCATACCAGTGTTTGCTTACAAATTTTCCAAAGTGTTTGCACATTGTCCAGTGTAAGTATTGCCCCACTCTATCGTGACGATTTTTATATTCATTTGGGGCAAGTATAGAACATCCTGAGATTAGATGGTCTATTGTTTCTTGGTATTTGTCACAGAACCTGCATTTTGGATCCACATTATTATGTATGATATTTGCCTGAAAATTCCTAGTGAAAAGACTCTGGTCTTGCGCTGCAAGAATAAAGCCTTCAGTTTCAGACTTTAATCCAGATGCTCGTAACCATCGATGAGTATTAACTTTATCAACATTGGGTTTATTTGCACGTTCTGGATATTGGCCATGCAGAGGTTTGTCTTGCCAGCGTTGTTTCATCTGTTCAAGGGCTTTATCCTTGGCTTTCTTTTTCATATCTTTTGCTGCAATAGTTGGTTCTTGGCTTCTGTTTTGATTTACTACAGAATCTACTAAATGTAAATGTTGTTTGTATTTACTGCCTTCTTTTATTATTGAATATTTTTTTCTTTCTGTTTTCATGTTGTTTCACTAATTTTATCATCCAGTCATTTGTTGTTTCCATGTAAGTTAGTAAGCCAATAGTTGTTGTCTTGTATGACAATTCTAGCTGAATAAGACCTCTTCCACCTTCTTTACGGGGTATGTATAGACGGTCTACATCAGCCTTTGGATGATGCATCTTATACTTAGAAAGAAGCTTTTTGTTTTAGAATCCATTTGTCTGATGTCATTTAGAGTCCAGTTCAAGATGTTGAAACTATATTGGACCACTGGGATGGCAAAAGAATTAATGGCCATAATTCTGTTCTGAGAATTCAATTCAGTTTTTAATACCAGTCGTACCCTTCTATAGTAATCTTTTACGCACTATTTCTTTCATTTTCTTATGGTGAATTCCTTCACTCTCATTTACACCTAGGTACTTATAAGATTCTCCTTGTTCTAAATCTTTTATTGTTACAGCAGGGTCTAAACTAATAGAGGAAGTTTGTTGTAGCGATCCTCGTAAAATAATAGCTTTAGCACATTTATCCAAATTGAATTTCATTCCAATGTCTTCACTGAAGCATTTTACAGTTTGCAGAAGACCTTCCAGCTCATTGTCATTCCTAGCATACAATTTTAAGTCATCCATGTAAAATAGATGGTTTATTTTCTTTTGAGCTATTTTTCAACCGCATTCTGTCTTGTTAAGTTGGCTGGTTAATGCTATAAGTGATATGCAAAATAATAAAGGAGACAAAGAGTCACCTTGAAATATTCCTCTATTGATGTTTATTTCGCCAGACTTATAGGTTCCATTTTTATGATTGAGGTAAAGTGTAGTTTTCCATATCGACATACATTGTTTGATGAAATTGATGATAACGGGTGATACCTTGTACATACTTAAAGACTTTAAGATCCAGGAATGTGGTACACTATCGAATGCTTTACGATAATCTATCCAGGCAATACTAAGATTTTTTTTTCCACGGAAGCAGTTTTCCAGGATCATCCTATTAATAAGTAATTGGTCTTTACATCCGTAGCAGCCTCGTTTGCACCCTTTTTGTTCAAGTGGTAGTATGTCATTTCTTTCCAAGAAGAAATATGTCTGTTTTGTTAAAATAGATGTTAACAGTTTGTATGTTGTTGGAAGACATGTAATTGGTCTATAGTTTTTCGGAATATTTGTGTCACTATTTTTGGGTAGAAGAAAGGTAACTCCTTTGGTCATCCATGCAGAATTTTAGTTGGATCGGTAACCATTTCTTGAAGTTCTTTTGGCGAGTTTTTTGTGTGCTGTATTTAAATAATATAGCCAGAAGTTAGAATTTTATCTATTCCTGGAGATTTCCAGTTGTGTGCTTTTTTTTCAGTGCACATTTAACATCTTCTTCTGTGATTCCCGCCCATGTCTGTTCTGGTTTATTTTCATTCGTTCTAACTCTTGCGCAATCCAATCTGCCTCTTCGTTGTGTTCTTTA